ACCCCAGCCCTAATTCTTAGTTCTAATTCCCACAAAAAGCGGCGGGTATTGATGGAGGATCGCCGAACCGATAAAGAGTTCGATTTGTTTGATTCCTCACAGAAGCCTTAGCTGCATGATCTTGCGACCCTTGAGATCTGGGATCCGAATTGTGAACATTATTGACAGCTGAGAATATATAGAAAGCAAAAGTTTTCCCCGAGCTAAGATCGCGTTCCCTTTCTACAGATTGAAGCAGAACCCAAACAAGCTTTATTACTCAGGCCAATCGAATCTAATTAAATGCTAACTAAGTTTTCTGATCTCATTCGTTAACCGGATGCACTTTCCAACTGATGCGATCAAACTGACCGAATTTAAGATCAGCTAGTCATGATCTCGACACCATAATTAAAAAAAAAAAACTCGTTTTGACCCGGGCGCAAAAACCGCAGCAAATAAATATAAAAAACAATAACAGTTCATAGTTGAGCGCTTTTTGTTGTGTTTCCTGCTCAGAACTAAACGATCTATGTGAGTCTCGTTTCCGTCTATTCGGAACAACAGCAACAACAACAACAACATCATCAGGAAATGGCTGAGACACAATGGAACCAAGCCCAAAAGCCAAAATCAAAAAAAAACCGAAATCCATTTTAAAGTCGTTGCCAAAATCGCATGCAAATCGCGAAATTCAGTGCAATATCGTTTTTTTTTTTTTTGGAAATGTGAACTGAAAACGAAATGGAATAAGAGTGAGAAAATCAAATCAAAGTGATGGACTGCCAGATACCCTAGCTTACGGAATAACAAATTGGTTTAGTATGCAATTTATGTGAAAAGTCTTGGCAGGTGTGCAGCAGGTGTAAGAGTATCAAAATGTATCCAAAACTTAATACTCGAAAATTGCATTCAATATTAGTTTTTTGAAAACCTGTACATATTATTCAGATAATATAAATATGCTCTAGTTAATGCTAGCTTTAAATGCGTATCTCCTACAGTCTCTGAGTACACATAGATCAGCAGATGCTTGACCTCAGAGAACTCAGAACTTACGACAGCCAGAAAGCTCAAATTTGTTGTAGATCAATGTTATACGATGACTTGATTGTAAATATATATGTTATATGAAAAATATTATAGTTATATGTATATGGAGACCCCTCTATAAATATACCAAAAAATATTTCATTTATATTTACGTATTTTTATTTAAATAGGCCAAAAACTGGACTTTGTGATTCAAGAAATCGGAAGCAGCTGGGTTAACTACGCGTTCTAATTAGCGAGCGAAGACTGTACATGGTCAGTCCACAATTTACAGGGTATAGAAGCAAAAGAAATAACTAAATGAGAGAAGAAAAAAAAACGGAACTTGGCCAACTTGAACTTGGTTAAGTTTATTTCTCTTTCTTTTGGGGGCCTTATGTCTCGCATGTTGGGTTCAAAAGTGCAAAGCTTTGCATAAGCCGCAAGCCATCAATAAAAAACAACAGCAACAGCAGCAACATTGAATGCAAACACGTTATCTTGGCATAGGTCAGTGAAGCATGAGCTAAACAAAAGCCAAGTAAAACTCGGCCGTGGGCGAAATTCGTTGACGTTTCGCTGTTGACCCGCTAAAGTTGTTGCCTGTCTTTCAAGTTGTTGTCGTCGTCGTTGTCGTTGTTGTTGTTGCTGCAGTAAAAGTGGCAGCTGCAGATGCGCCAACAGCCAACAACCAACAGCAACAGCAACAACTACAACAATTCGCAACTCGCTCTCAACTGGTTTGCAAGTTCGCGGTTTTGACTTTCACATTGGGCGCACACTTAATTGTGGGCTTTAATCTCGGTTAATTTGCTCCAGTTTTGATTTTCATTTAGTGGAAGGAAAAAAAAGAGACATGAAAATAAAACTAAAACTAAAACTAAAACACACATCGGCACACAGTCGGCACGAACCGGCGATTAAAGCGATGCTCGATCGAGCCGCCGTTCATGATGATGTTCGTGCTGTGCGGCGTGTTCATATTTCCAGAAGTTACCAATGCGCATTGGCTATAAAATTCGCTCCACTCGTTCAAATTGACTCGGTGTTGTTATTGTTATTGTTGTTGTTGTTGTTGTTGCTGTCGCTGCGTGTGAAAATGTTTAGCAAGAGCGCGTTTAAAGCATTTGGTGTCATCGAAATCGAAACTTGAACACGCTGCTATCTCTGGTTAGTCTCTGTATGAGCGTCTCTGGCTAACGAGTGAGAGTCTACTCGTTAGACTTGACACTCGTTACTCGTTACATATTGGTGGACTAATTAACGGGTCTTTACGCAAATATATTGCCGTTACTCTTCCAACCATTCCAAGTAACGAGTGCCTACTCGTTAAGCTTGGTACTCGTTGTTAGCACTCGTCATTGAATTGCTTCATTTTCCAGTTTTACAGTTATACTTCAGTCAGTACACGAATATAACTACAAAATTATATGATTTATGCGGCAATTCTTTTGAACCCATACAAATAACGAGTGCCTAATCGCTAAGCTTAGCCAATCGTTAGATTTTGTAGTTTTCTAATTATATCTTGTAGTTAATAGACAAACATAGCTTGAACACTGTAATCCTCTTACTTCAAATATATAACAAACTCGTTAAGCTTGTTACTCGTTGTTGGCACTCGTCAATCAATTGTAATTGTCAATCAATTTGTAAATTTCTAGTTCTATTTGTCTATTAACTGTGATCATGAATACTATGATTGCAGTTCAGCGGACGAAAAAATGTGCATACTCGTTCAACCTAGTACTCGTTGTGGGCACTCGTTATTTAATTGTCAAACTCTTCAGCTTTCCCTAATTTTTTTCTGGCAGTTGTCTTTAAAGAAACGTAAGCTAAAGTTCTTTTGCGAAAAGACTAATTACACGTTAGTTTTTTCACTCGTTGCTTTCACTCGTCGAGCTTTATGTGCTTTGTAGCTCGGAATTTAGTAGGTCAATTAATAAAAATAAACATTAAAACTCATAAAACACAAGGGGCCAAGCGTTAATTGAAGAACTCATTGTTACCACTCGTAACTTTTGGCTAGAACCTGTGGCTCGCTTCTTCTCACTTCCCTATTCTTGATCAGTAGCAGCCGCATCTATATATGTCCTTGGTACCATGGGAAATCGTATAATTGCTTTATGTGTGAAAAGGGTATTTAATTTTCCACAGCCGGACAATAACTCTCATTTCTTGTTCGGCCTTCAAATATGTTAGTTTATTCGAGCCAACTGCTAGCTAAAATAAAAACGAGTGTCATTAATTTAAAGCTCGCTACTCACGCAGACTTTTAACCTTTACACTAAACTTTTCAATTAGGCTACACGTTCGAGTAAGTCGCATAAAACTTAAGCGGAGTTCGAGTTAAATGAGTGGGGTTAAGATTCAACAAGTTTATAGTTTTACTCTGTTCGCAGTGTCGATAAAGGTATATTGGCTCGGATGAAAGGTTCGCATACAACTTTAGGTGCATATAGTCCTGCAAAATTAGTCAAGGTGTTGAAGTCTTTTCAGGCATTAGGAGAAAACAAATCGTCTGCTAATCGATTTAATTCACATCGGCTACAGTTTTGAAATCACAGTTGGAAATGGGCTGCCTTGGGATGACAGTTTTAAAGCTACTGGCTCCAATTTTAAATGCTCTCAGATGCTTTTTACTAAAGACATCGTCGATTGCATCAATATTACGATTCCGAGAACTAATTCAGTTGGAGAGTTACAGTTTCAGATGCGCTGCTTTGGGTTAACAGTTTGAGAGACACTAGCCCGAATTTAAGATGCGTTCAGATGCTTTTTACACTATAGTCTTTGTTGATTGCATCAATATTGCGTTTCGCAGAACTTAAACAGTTGAAGAGACACAGTTTGAAATGCGCTGCTTCGGGATAACAGTTTGAGAGTTAATAGCCCAAACTTTTAGATGCCTTCAGAAGCTTTTTTCACTAAAGACATCGACGATTGCATCAATATTGCGATTCCAAGAACTCATACAGTTGGAGAGTCACAGTTTGCAATGCGCTGCTTTGGAAAAAAAAAGAGTTTGAGAGCCACTAGCCTCAATTATAACTGTTTTTAGCTACCTTTTTTACACAAAACACAAAAACTGCTACAGTTTGAAGTTCACCTGGGAAAACAGCTTGAAAGTCACTAGCCTAAATATTAACTGCGTTAAATTGCTTTTTGTACTGCAAACATAGTCGATAGCATCAAACTTCTGATTCCCAGAACTGCTGCAGTTTGAAATTAACGGTTTGAAGTTCATTGGCTTCTGTTAAAGAGTTTTTGGCCTTACTCAGTTGCCTTTTTCCCTATAAACAGGGTATTGCGTAGTCGGTTGCAACCCTTTTGAGATTTTAATAACTTATTTATTGCACTATTTGGCTCGATTTATGCAGCTACTCGATTCATATGCACAGATCTTAAACAATAGCCGTACTGCTGTTGAGGTAGGGTACTTAATGGGCCTGCCTGGCTGCACTTCGCACAGAGTCGCTAATCATGTGCATGGGAATTGGGGAATTGGGAAATTGGGAAACTGAGAATGATGTTGATGCTGATGATAACTGGTTGTGCACAGTTCGTGATAAACAATAAACAATGATGAAACATAATGATGGGGTTGCTGCTGCAGCGGCTGCCACATGCGATGCAGTTGACAAATGCAGCTTGTGGCATTCCCATAACCATTCCCAGACGATTGTCTCTCCTTTTTTTGTTCGCTGTTGACATGTCTGTCCGTGTGTGTTGGTGTGTGTGTGTGTGTGTTGGTTTGTGCCAGTTTCACAAGCGTTTTGGGTGAAACTTGGCCAGTGCAGGCCGTGTGGGCCCATAAGAGCTGCAGCACTTTGGCCATAATCAATGTACATATCTGCATCTGTATCTCAGCCTTAGACCTGGCCAAGCGCTTTTTGGACCTGTGCTGGCCGCCACTTTGCCACAGTAAGAAGAACAACAACACTCGCTTCAAGAACCAGTCGCAATTATAAATAATTATTTGCCATTACGTTTGCCAAGCGGCAGCTTTTAGTTGGTCAGTTTCACTTTTAAAAAATGCCGAAAAAAAAAACACAACAACTATCAAGACCGAAAATCACGTTAACGTCAATACGCATGCGCGCTCTGTGCTTAAGCTCAACGAAATGCGCGAACCGTACGCAGCCGCCCAAAGACAGCAACTGATCGATGTAGCTTCAAGCGGCGACAGCCGAAGTTGTTGAGCCGTCGCCGAAGCCGAAGTTTGAGCGGCAGCCGACGAGCAACGATCGACGAACGACGACGACGAAGACGAAAATGTGTCAAAAGCAAAAGCTGCGCTTCAATGGCAGCGAACGCCGCTGCGCAGCCTGCCAACAACAAGTGCTGCATGTTTTTGGCAGCCTTGCATTTGTGTGCGTGCGTCAGTGTGTGCGTGTGCGTATGCGTGTGGGTGGCTTGCAGTGCAATTGAAAAGCTACCGAATGGCCGGCTGCGACGTCGGCGTCAACGTCAACGTCAACCTTTATGCTGCTTTATCGCCCAAGTGAAAACACTTAAAAACAACTTTTACAATGTCGCCGCCGCTGTCGCTGCCGACGCCGACGCCAAAGAAAAGTGACAGTGGGCCAAATGAATAACAATTAAAAATGGGCTTTAACTACTTGGCCGACACAGACAAAAGACAACAACGCTCTGATCGTATAGAAGAGGTGCAGTCCAGATATTGTAATCCTCACTAAAGGGCCAAAAAAAAAAAAAACAGATAAATAACATTTACGAGTGCTTTGTTTAGATCTACACTTTTCATTCAAGCTGGAATTTCAAGAAGCGGCTTTTTTTATACTCTTTCGCATAGACAAGGCGAGTGTATTGGTTATATATTTATTTATCAAAAAAAATTTAGAATTAAAATTTTTAAAGCCAATCGATAGTACTGATCCTTACGAGTCCAAAATGGTATAAAATTCCAAAACCAGACCGAGATATTCTAAAAAAATCATCAAAAAAGGTTGACTTTACAAACGAATCGTTTTTGGTCAACAACGTTTTTTAACCCATCGATTTTTAATTTGTTTGAATGCCAAGTGATAGTAGGGATCCGAACGAATTCAAAAAAGATTAACATGTTAAAATCAGACAATATTTATCCGAGATATTAAAAAAAATGTGGATGGAAGATACTTGATTTATAAATTTATGGTATACTATTCTAGAAGCTACAACTTACGAGATTTGCTCAAAAAACAGGATTTCGATATCGATTTATTATCGATTACTTCGAAACGAAGCAACTTATCGATTATCGGAAACAAACCTACGTTCCGAATTTTTAGCTCTTATAGGTTCTGAGATCCTTGCGTTCATACATACTAGATCGACTCGGCAATTGATGCTGATCAAGAATATATATATACATACTATATATATATATACTTTATGGGGTCGGAGATTCTTCCTTCTGTCTGTTACATAGATTTGCGCAGATACATTATACCCCTTTTACCCATTTTTAATGGATTCAGGGTATATAAATACTTATAATATTGAAAAATATAAATATATTATCAATTAAATTTGGAGTGTTGAAATTTTGGAAATTTTTGAAAATAATATCTTCCAAGCTACAAATTATGATGCCACAAACAATGAGCTGGGTTTTGAAATGTTGAAAATTTCTTTTTAATGTGAGGAATATATTGTAAATAATTTTCGAAAATAGTTTTTTCCTTCTTCAATACAAATATATACGAGTATTAGTAAAAAGGGTAGCAATAAAAGAGGTAAACATTAAATCACCACCTTCATTGGATGGCATTTTATTTTCGAATCTACTATTTTCCGGAATCCAGATCGGTTTGGGAATAGAGTTTGTACGAGGACTAGAAAAGCATCAGGCCCTGGAACTTTATGGAACGAAGGCGTTTTCAGATTGTTTTGAATTTACGGCTAACGACAATGATGATGGTAATCAGAGATTAAAAGCAATTAGTTTTCTGATGCGAGCTGGAAGTGACCGCCACTTGTGGACAAGGATTGGCGAAGGACATAGGAAATGCCGCGTCTGCCTGCCGGTCCTGGAAGCCCGCCTGGAAGTCCTGCATGTAGATGACCTTGCCAAGGTCATCGGCTTCGTTCTCACCCTCCTCCTCGGGTATGGTTGGCAACGTCTTTGGCTTTTGCAATCGATTCCTGGTTAACAAACACGTACAAATAAAACTGCGCTGCTTTACCATCTGCTGGAAGTTCTGCATTTTGCTTGACGGAAATTTATGTTACCTTCAATTAGAATTTATGAATAAAATCTATACAGAAAAATCAAACTAACTTAGTGAATTGTTTTCAACCAAAAACAATGCATACCTGATAATAAAAAAACTATTTACGAATCTCAAAAAAAAAACGGAGTTTTATCCGCTTGTGAGAGCATGGGAGCATATGCAGCCCGTAAAACGTTTAAGAATGACGCACAAAGAGGAAGTGGAAAAAAACACGAGCTGCAGGAGCGTGACAGCTGACAAGGAATTGAAGAAACAAGTAGGAGTGAATAAATGTGACAGACTAGGTTATACCCTGTACTCAGCATCGCAATCACCTATAGTTGCTGAAATTCCAATAAAAACAAATACGTGTAACGACTATGCTTCTTCTTTTATTCGATACCGATTCTTAAGTAGGCATAATTCAAAGATGAACTTAACATGTGTGCATATCCAAAGAGAAAGGTTCTTCTACTTTCGTGTCTCTAGCTCTGATGATCGCAGAGGAATGCACAACGAAAAATCGTTATTTTTTGCTTTTAAGTCGAAATTAAGTTTTGTTCTTCAAGATCAACGCGATTATATGGATGGGTAAAGCTAGGGTAAGACGTAGCTTGTCATTCCGATCAAAAAGTTATATAATTTATGAAATTGGAATGAAATCTTAACCACCTTTTTTTGCCCAGTGATTTATAGATTTACTTGATGCGAAGCAAAACGTTAACGAATGGCATACAAAGCAGAATTCGAAAGAGATCAAACGCGAATGATAAAAGATTTAGATTACAATAAATTCGAAATGTATTTAATGCGCCAAAGCTAAAGCTTTTGTATAATACATCATTATTGATATAGTTTTTATTGCTTTACATTTTATTATTAAGATTTTGAGATTGGGCATTCGAGTTGATGCCAATGCCAAATTGTTGTAGGCTACAATAATGTTTAGGCATATAAGTCGTTAATTATACATATATATTATATATTATATATATAGTACTAGGCATAGGTATCGTTAGTTGTATAAAGTGTACTTATTTATGTAATTTTCACTTCACGAGTCACACAGTTAAGTGGAAAGCTAACTGCTCCTAACGGACACTAAAGATTAGGTTTAAGAACTGGAATTCAAGAGAACGAAATTCCTTGGCGCTAGCTTAAAACGCATACCGCGGTCGATTGTGCGGTGTGTGTCTAGAGAGGAAGAGGAGGGAATTTAAAGTATGATTGATTGATGATACAAATACTTTGTACGTATTTAACATTATGTATCATTATTCATATACAACGCTACATATAGTTCTATATATAATATATATATATATATATATATCGAAAGATCCGATGCACTCATGTGTTCGTGTGTGTGTATGGATCGTCGCATCTAAACTATATATTGTATTATTAAACTATCAAACGTCTAATTTGTTTATACATCATTATATTTAAATGTTTGCGTAGCATTAAATTTTTAATTTTTATTTAAATTGTGCTACAGCTTTTGCATTTGCAGTTCCTTTAACAAACGATTGGTCTAAAAAAATTATTGAACAACATATTCATTGATTATCAGTAATCAATATATACATACTGTATATATACATATATATATATATATCAATATATGTTAAGCAATCACATCATATATTCGTATTTTAGAATTAAAATATGAACGATTATTGGATGTACAAGATTTTCTTTTTGTTTTGTATCCAATTACGAGGTGTGTGTATCTTGTGTGTGTACGTGTGTATGTTTGTTTGATTGAGTGTATCAAAATTAGAGGATATCTCATTTCAAGGCCATTTCGTTGCCTGAGTTGGTTTTGGAATACAAAACGTAACAAAATTAAATTTAGAATATTTCGTCCGTTCTTCTACTTCTGCACTTTGTTGTTGTTAACATTTCATTGTTTAAATCAAAATTTAAATTTGCGTGTGTGTATGCTTCGTGTATATAGAACACCTAACCAAGACCCAATCGCAGATGCACTTTGATCCATTTGGTTGCACTCAATTCTTGCTGGGCTCCGGCGGAGTAGGCACGCGTTTAACGTTCATGCTGAAGAACTTAGTCTTGACTTGATCAATGGTGTAATCCAGCTCGATGGCAGGATAGCTGGACTTCTGCCGAAGGAACGGGAAATGAAATTAATTAGCAACAATATAAACAAAAAAAAAAAAAAAACAAGTGGTTCTAGTCGGAAGCTCCCGACTAGGGGATACCCTGAACCCTATTCTTCCAACAGGCGATAGGCGATATAAAATGAAAGATACTTGATATACATATACTATTCTAGAAGCTCTTGTTATTTACCAAAATTGCTCAAAAAACAGGATTTCGATATCGATTTTTAACAATTACTTAAAAACGGGGCAAGTTATCGAATATCGGTAGCAAACTCGATCTGCGCGGGCACTAGGAGGACCTACAGCTTAAATTTCAAGTCTCTAGCTCTTATAAGTTCTGCGTTCATACATACGGACATACGGACGGACAGACGGACATGGCTAGATCGACTCGGCTGTTCATGCTGATCAAGAATATATATACTTTATGGGGTCGGAGATGTTTCCTTCTGCCAGTTACAATGGGTTCAGGGTATAAAAAGTGGATAAACTGCATTTACGTTTTGCGTTATATTCTGGCCGCGCAGCAGCTGCCAGTTCTCTAGAATGTGAGCGTAGCGCAAATACTTCTCGAATTCATGCAATGTCTCATAGACATGGCACAGTCCCAAATAATCATATTCCAGACCGGAGTAGCTGCGTCCAAACAAACGCAAGCCTGTTAAAAG